AAAAAAAAAAAAAAAGGAAAAATCTCATTGAATTTATTAGTGACTTCTCTCTCCTCACTCTTTTTTTACATGAAACTCTCTTACTACCTTTTTTTTACTTACTCATATCTCTTCTTTATAAAATGTGATTTAATAAATACATCTTTTCCATTTCTATTTTATTTTATGTATGTATGTATTATGTATTTAATAGCTTTCCCCTTGAGAAATCCTAGACCACTGAAACCAGCTCACCTGGATGCCTGCAGGATGCACAGGTATCAGCTGGCTTGAAGAAGAGCAACCACGGTCACGGAACCACTTGAGTTTAGCATTGGATTTTGATCCCTTATGCTCCAGGCTGGAGGCTGCTTACAAAAAGAGCTTTGTCCCTGGCTCTCTGTTCTTCCCCATGGGAGAAGACAGAGAGCCAGGGCAAGCCCCAGGCTTTTCCACATTGCTGGGGTTGTCCTGTAAAAGAGGAAACCTTGCTGTCATCTTCACAGGTGACTTCACAGTCATAGCCAGGAATTTCTAGAAATACAGCCAGTACAGTCCCCCTTTCTATCACTATCTAGCCCATTGATTCTATCCCAGTGTTGCTGGGCTCATTCATCATGTTGGGCCTTCCTGCACCAAATCTTCCCAAAAGGAGTAAAAAATCAGCCAGAGGCAAGGGAGTTGTCAAAGCACCTCTTAACTATCTGACCTGACAAGATACTTTAGTAAGCATGCTATGGAAATCTGCCTGAACAGGCAGCCCAGTATTTCTCTAGGAGAATATACATGTTCAGAAAAATTTTGAGACTGTGCCCTCTATAACCCAATAACATTCTGCAGACGTGATTTTGTTTTTATTTAAAATGCACCAAGTTCTGATTGCTGCTTTCTGTCCTCCACCAATCTAAGAAAGGAAAGGGTAAGTAGAGGATTCTGCACAGAAATGAAAAGAGCCAGCATGGAAAGAGAACCCCGGAAGAAAGAGGAGGCTGTAAGGGCAGTTTACCAACATGAAGGTGGCCCATATGGGGCCCTTAGTTCTTCATGTTCAAGCCTTCTGTATTTATAATTCTCTTGGGTCCGGCTCCCTTTTGTTCTTCTTATTCTTTAAAGTCTAGCTGTATGTGAATATTAAAGGACTTGAATCTTTTCAGGTATAAAACTGCCTGCCAAAATGTTACTACCACATCCAAGATAGATAGGAACCAAAGGAAAAAGCCTGACTGACCAAGGAGAAATGTCACAAATCACGACCCCTTCAACCATTTAAGACCCACTGCAATTCACACTCAGTCTATTTATTGGCTACCATTACTTTCAAGAAATTTCTGTGACTAGATGGCACATTCTTGGTTAAGTACCTCTGAGTAGAAAAGTTAAATATCTGACTAGAAATATTCCCCAGACTAGGGCTAACTCTCAGCAGGGAGGTACACATGAAACAGGTGAACTATAGGCAGATAGTGAAAACAAGGAACACATTCAGCAGAGAAGAGCAGAAAGAGAAAAACCCAGGAACAGGCTTATTCTGATGTAAGAATCTGTGGAGAGAGATCAGGGCAACATTCCAGAACTAGGAAGTTGACACATTTTCAGGCACTGATCTGGGATAAGAAAGTAAAGGTACTTTGGGGGGGGCGGGGGGGGAGGGATGAGAGGAGGGAGCTAATGATAGCTGCTAGTAGGCAGCTAATGATAAGTTAGAGTGAGCCCAGAATTAAGATGGGAGTAGAAACGTTAGAATCAGATTGATTTGGGATCTGGTGCACTGATAAGTATAGAATTTTTAAAACTTGATTATCTTTCATATCATTTAATATCACAAAATCCAAGAGCCTAACTTAAAGACAGACAGATAAATGATTAAGGCCATCCCAACTATTCTAATGTTTTTTAAAATTCTAATATTTAAAAAAAGAGAGGATATATCTGGACTAAATCTAGGGAATTTCTTTAGGATAGTATTTATACTGGTGACACAATTATCCTTATTATGGCTACTGCTCATTGAGCATTTACAGAACTCTATGCAGGTGGTGCTAAGCAGTTTTTTTTTTTTTTTATCATGTCAGTTAATCCTTACAACTATATGACCATTACCCCCCTTTTGCAGCTGAAGAAACATGGCCAAGAGAGTTTAGGCATCTTGCCCAAGTCCACACAGATATTAAGTCACCAAAGAAACTAGATTCAAACCAGTTCTGCTAAATCCAAAACATGACCTCTTAGCTATGAGGTAGATCACCTTTAATAACTATAGTAGCCAGGGTTTTGTTTGTTTATGCCCTGGGATGGCAAGGAGAACATCAAAATAATTCAATTCAATCTGTCTGGTTTTTTACTAGGATGGAGCGATTTCCCCTACTTTCTAGAATAGAATTTCAGTAACTATAGAAGCTTCAGCATAAATTCAGCGCTTGGTTTCCTCACTTTGCCATACCCTTTCACTTTTGTATACCCTTTCTAGTGGCTAAGTAGCGAATATAAATGAAAAGGCTTTTTCCCTTATTCCCTTCATTTAGTTTTTTTGATGAAAAAAGACATAAAGGGTAGTGGGTTACAGTGTTCACACTCGCAAATTTTCCTCTTCTGTTATATTCAATAGGCCGTTCAACTTTGTCTTAAGATTATTTTTTTGCATAATAAACATTTGACTATAGTTATATCTATCTATAAATAACTAAATAGGATTTATTAGAAGCTGTTGAAAGTATTTGTAAATTTCACTAATCTCACCACTTTTCAATCACAGAACTAGATTTCTGGCCACATACAGACTAACATTTGTTTAAAACTCCCCCATTAAAAGGCAGAATATGCAGAAACTTTCTCCCTTAACTTCAAACTGGCATCTGAAGGTCCTTCCTCATTCACCTAAAAGTACCCACTCACCTTGTAAACTGCAAAACTTTGCACTTAATCACAGACCACCTGATTTGACATGGGTTTGAACTCTTTTAAGGGCAACCACTTCTGCCCAGTGGACCCAACCTGCTCTCCCTGCCGCCAGGGATTTTTTTTGTTTTGTTTTGTTTTGTTTTGTTTGTTTGTTTCCTGAAACTCCTCACAGTATCCCTGGACGTTTCTACAGCACTGTAGAATCGCCGTATTTCAGTCTCTGCTCTTCAAACCCACGGGCTGATTTCTCCTTAGAGTTCTCACTCTGCATTGCAGTGGGAGACATTTAAGCTTAAACAAGCAAAACTGCCTCTATAACATCACAACTCTTTGCAGAGTAACTGATTTTTCCAGCCTCCTCTGCTCCCATCTCTGTCCTCCGGGGGCACAAGACAGGGCAGAAGTCAGCAAAGGGCTGCGGACCTCCACCCACCACACCCAAGTCCAGACCCTTTTGTTCTTTCTTTTGTATTATTATCTCTTTACCCATCTCTCTTTTTTAAAAAATCTATTCTAAGGACAGAAACATTTTATCAGACTCAAAATCAAATTATTTACCAGACTCTAAAAGAAATACTGGAGAACACAAAGTTCCTACTTACACAACCCCTTCGGATCAGCCTGCTTCCTTTCTCTTTGCTCAGCTCCGCAGCTCCACAGCCAGAAGCCCTGATATTTATAGTCCTGTTGTTTACCTCTCTCCCGGGCTGTAGTCCAAAGTTCACTGCCCCCCTCTGGCTGTGACCTTGCAAGCAGAACAAACCCCTGAACTGGGTGTTACAATCAACTTAAAGAAAGCATCGTGCTGCCAGGCATAAAATGGGGGGAAACTTTTTTGTGATTATTGATTTATTCCCTATCCTTTTTAGTCACCCCAGTATCTAGGATTTAATGGTACAGTCGGGGCGGGAGGAAGGACTAAGGGTAAAAGGGCCTCCAAGTAATGTTCTTTTTCAAACTATAATAGGGAAAAACATTTGCTGAGCCAGCAAGTTAAGCTGCTGCTTTAAAAAAAAAAAAAAAAAAAAAAAAAAAAAAAATCTGTTTTTTCCTTCTGCTCTGTTGTGGCCAGGTTAGCCTAACCCAGACTGTGTGAGCTTTGTTACAAAAGTCACCTGCTGTTTCAAATCTTTCCCTCTCCTGCCGTTACAGAGTTGCTTGGATTATCTATGTTTAAAACTTGGATCTGTGTGGGATCTCACAGGATCTCTGCTCTCTTCTTTTTCATTTAAGGAAAGGAACAAGAAACTAAGCCTCCTAGCAGAGGGAAACCAAGCCTCAGTTTATTGTAACAGATGTTGTACTCCCTGTAAGACCTGTGGATCCCACAGAAGCATTTAAGAATTGAATGGAAAATATTTACAAATATAAGTACCATACAGATAAAAAATTTTAGTGGTAGAAGTTGAGCATGGAAAAGGATATAGAAATTTCACATTTTTCACAAATTAAATGGAAAGTTCTTACTCTTTCAGAAGGGGGTAAACGCTTCCCAATAACTGCTACACGTGAGCACACCATGGGGTATAAGGTAAGGAGCAACGTCAAATGTCATCCCTGGATAGCCCTGGTTTTCAAGTAAGCCTTGCTTATACTATTAATGTATTTTTCCCAAACAAACCCCTATTGATTGTTGTGTACTGAGTACTGTTGTACCACACAGGGTGAATACAAAGAGGCTCAGATGTCAGCCTTCCCACAAAGAAATTTATCAAATCAGAAGCTTGATTTTGAAAGCCAAACTGTTTACTCAAACTAAGCAGTAGTACTATTTTGGGTCCCAGATCCCTTTGAGAAATGCCTAGTTTTTCCAGGGAATAAAAATGCAAATATACAGACTCATTTTTTTGAAAGACTTTTGTCAAAAATCTTTGTTTAAAGCCGATTGTCCCCCTTGTACCTCATTTCCCTGACAGATTATTTGAATAGTCATCTTGGGTCGTCTGCAGCAGGACATTTTACCAGCCCCTCCCTCCTTTACAAGTGGCTTAGCAGCTGCCTCCTGCCCCAAAAGGATTCCCTCCAGATGTGCCTCTAGCTACACAGCAAAGTACCCAGGATTGTGAGTGCAGGTCAGTGTGTGTCTAAAACCCCAGATGGCAAAAGGTGAAGCCTGGGGGTGGGGGGCGGGGATGTTTGCAGGGAACCAATCCATCCTTAACAGCCTCAGCCTCTTCTGTGCCAAGCAAACTGGGAACAGTCAGCATTGTTAAGAGAACAGAATTTTGGGGACGCATGGGTGGCTGTCAATTAAGTGTCCAACTCTTCGTGTCAATTCAGGTCGTGATCTCATCAAGCCCTGTGTGGGCTCTGCACTGACCGTGCAGCCTGCTTGGGATCCTGTCTCTCAAACTCTCTCTCAAAATAGATAAACAAACTTTAAAAAGAAAAGGAAAACAGAATTTTCAAACAAACCTTTCTGTGATGTTAAATTACATTAAATCAAATGAAATTAAACATTTAATTAGGTGCTTACGCCAGGCACAATGCTAAGTTCCCTTACAATGCTACTAAGTTCTCTTATACTCAAGGCTCTCAAAATCTAATAGGGTAGACATACAAGCAAACAGAAAAAAACAAAAACAAAACAAAACCGTAAAGTATGACAATGTCCTAATGGCTGCTTGCGCAAGGTTCTGTTGGAAACTTGGGAATGAAAAAAGCAGCATTAAACCCAGCCTACAGATAGGCCAGCATGCTAGATTAGTACACTTCAAGCAAGTTCAACAGTCCCTTTTTATTTTACCCTCTACTTCAGAGCACCCAGCAGACCTGGCCACAGCACCGTCTAGAAAGTTTTTTTGTTCCAATTTGTATGAGTGATTAAAATCTGACCATTTGCTCCAGCCACCAGCACACAATCGAACATTAAGTTCATCGACTGCATTCTATCAAGTTCAACTTTATCCTAATGATCTCTCTGCATACTATCTCATTCTTCCCCATCCTTATTATTTGGCCCCAGAATGTTGATGCATTTATTTAGGTCCAAGTTTTAAGAAGCATGCTCACCCTTTTATTGGTAGTAGGTAATTTCCATGGAGAATAGGACCCTACGAATCTGAGTCCAATATACACTTAAAAGAGAGAAGAGCTATGAGCTGTGACTCTATAAATGAGTTTATTAGCTACAGCAGGTGATAATACAGCATTGATCCATTAGCATTTGTAAAACACTGATGTCTCAATATATGAGAAAGTGAAAGTATTATTGCTACATGAAGAGCCTATGTAAAGCACTAACCCCCTTAGCTTGAGTGTTAGGTGGGGGTTTTACATGCAAAGGGAAATATCTTGGGAAATAGCACCAATTGACCTGTATGATTCTTCCTTTCCCTTGCATTTACTAAAAGGTCCTTTCCCTTGCATATACTAGAAGGTGCTTTAGACTTCACCCTACGCATTGTTCCAAATCTAATATTGTTTGAGCATCCATGTTGAAAGATAAGCCACTGATATGGAAGGGATGCCTAGGAAAACTCAAGATGTTTTCAAAGTAGATAAATAAGAACAGTAGTCAGAGGAAGGCATGGAAACAGCAGCTTTGATTAGATAAGGACTAATTTGATCCTTTGCTATTCATGAGACTGAGATCTGCTTTGATGGGAGCTTTTCTTCAAGCTCACAAGTTTACAGATCTGAGAACTGTTTGCTGTATCAAACATAAATGCAGGTATGGAGGTAACTATATGGTGACAAATTTCACGTGGGACTGAGCACATCCAAAGGTAACAAACAAGAGACACATTTTGCTTGAAATAGGATGCTATTAATTAAAACAAACAAACTTGTCAAAGCCAGAGCTGATGCCCACAGCTCCTCACGGGACACGGTGTTGGCACAAACATGCAAGAAGCATGTAGGGGCACCAGATGGCCCCCAAGTGACATAATCCCCTGAATTAAGGAAACACCACATTCATAGAGTATGACGTTTGTGTTTTGACCAATGAAAAACCAGCTATGTATTTAAGTATTATTAACGCATTTGCTAATTGGTAGAAGAATTTTTAGTTTTTTTAAAGCATAGTTGTTGGGGGGGTTGGGGGGAACAATGAGGTTAGTATTCATGATTTTTAAAACATTCATTGTTTGAAAAATAGGGAATAATATATTAGCTAATTTTTTAAAGTATTTAACATGGAATTTTAACATTATTGTGACCTATTAAGAATCACATACTCTGAAAAATCAATGTTCTATTCACTTACTTTAGCTTATCTTTAAAAATATCAGTAGTGTTTCTCATTAGGTTTTTTTTAAGCCTTGAAGAAGTATTTTTGTGTTTTTAGAGAGGTGTCCACCTAACTATAGCTGCACTGGGGCTCTAACACACACAGCTGTTGAGCTTAGAGAAGCACTAAGGAGATTCTTGAGTCAACTGCAGCCACACTAGACAGAGATCATGTGGGAAAGTGGTGTTCTGATTCACACCATCTGCCCTGTGCTATAGGTAGGTATGCCCCCAGTCCTCAGGGAAGAAAAAGCACACTGATATCGGAGTTAACCAGCACTCCAACTAAATGTGTAGCTTTGATCAAGGACTTCTTCTGTGAGTCTATTAACTTTTAGAAAACTCTTTTTATAAAAAGAATATTCTTGCCAAGAATATTCTTGCAAATCTGGCAATTATTTTTCATTATAATAATATTGATCAGGGCACCCAGCTGGCTCATTCAGTGGAACATGTGACTCTTGATCTTAGGGTTGTGAGTTCGAGCCCCACGTTGCGTATAGAGATTACTTAAAAATAAAAAAATCTTAAAAAAATAATATTGATCAGCCCTTATACGATTGTCTAGATTGGTGTCTGGAGTAAATTTTATGGAATTTCTTCCTAAGTATGCGATCTAGTTTTCCCAAAATCTGAAATTAAATGCAACTCTGGGTCTTATTCTTATATTTTCTCATAATTGACGCTTAACCTTTATAATTTTCCCACTAGCCCAGCAGATGAGAGTTCTTGAACGTAGGGCTGACTGGACTATCTTCAACTCAAAGCTTCAGGAAACACTAAAGTCGAAGGAGCCTATAAAGATAAAATCTTGAGTCAGAAGCTGAGGTTTGTAAGGGCTCTAATAGGTCAACAAACTAAGGGGAGCTAGTGTCAGTGCTCAAAAAATCAGGTATGGAACTAGGAAAAAGGAGCAGAGAGAAAAAAAATCAGGGAGTTTGGAATCAAAAGAGTAATCTGGAAGCCATGGCTGGACAGACACCTGTACAGGCAATGTTGACAGTACTTGGCTCTTACATACTTGATAAGGCAATATGACAAGGACCAGAGACGGGTGTCCCAGACAAGCACTAGGAACATGCCACATTTTCTCATGGCCCTTGGGGCTTCTGAATCACAACAGTAGAGATTCACTGGGCAGCTTGATAAATTACTGATTCACAATAAATATTTGCTGTAGGGATGTGTAAATTAATGGTGAATTTTTCCCTGAGACCTATGAACTAAGTCTGAATTCTGGAATTATGAGATTCCATTGAAATCCCTGTGAAATCCTTTGTAGCCCAAAGAACATTCAAACATAATGAAGTAAATCATTTCCTTCATTCTTATCCAGAATATTTGCCATGATCAGAGCTGCAGTATTCCCAGTAAAACTCAAGTGAATATTCATTTTTCACATCCCAGATTAAAAAGA